GCTCGCCCATGCCACCGGCGGGGAGCGAGCGAGCGGCTGTCAGGGGCTGAGCTGCCGGCTGGGGTTTGACCACAACAAGCATGTGCTCACGCCGCTCCAAGGCCAGACTTCTCCTCGGGGCTGAGTTCTGGGCATTCCTCCTCCTTTGCTTTCAGTTTTTTCCCTCTGTTGGTGCAATTCCCCAGCCCACACGCAAACAGCTCCAGCCCAGGGAACCCCATCTCCCCTCGATGAGTTCAGATCCCTTTTGCATCCTGTGACCAACTCTACCTTTCCTGGGACGCTCCGGCGGGGTAAAACCTGCAAAGGGGATGAGCCACGAGCAGCAGCCATCCCGGCCATCCAGAGGACTTAAGCACTTTCAACACCAGCTAATAAATCCTATTAAAACGACAGACTGAACAGCTACCGCAGAGGTGGGCACCACCTCCCAGTACCTCTCCATAGAGTGTTTTGCGGGGTTAGAAACGGGCTCTAAATTGGGATCCAGCCTCCTTAATGAGCCAAAGACCAATCCTGCCTGCAGACACCACTCCCAGAGCCATCAGGAGACAGAAATATTTCCAAAAACATTGCTACCACCCTGAATTTCCTAGTCTGCTCTAAGGCCTGCTTTACTCACAGCAAAACCACAGAAAAGTGACTGGTCCCAACTCCAGAACACTTTAGCACCCCGGCTCCTGTGCCTGTGCCCCAGACACAAGTTATTGCTATTTACCTCAACAAGTAGCAGCACAAAATGCAATAAACTTGAATACAGGACTGCCAGGATCCTCCCCTGGTCATTTAGCCTGTTGCTCTCACAAGCAGCTAAAATGTTAGCTAAAACTCTTCCTGAGAGTGCTGAATCCCATCAGAGTTAATATTCTCCCCCTTGATCATTTAAACAGTCTTGCTCTACGCATTTAATTTAAAATACACACTTTGCCTGGAGCACCATTGCTCTCTGCTCGGGTTCTTCAGCCAAGAGAAGCTGTCGGTGGGAGCTCCGATGGCATGGGCACGGCAGAAGCAGCTGTCTTTATGAATGTGCACAAGAACATGTATCCTTTACTCTCGGCTGCGTGAGCTGCTTTTAGTGTTTTATTTCCAAAACAGAGCTTATAGCACACAGGTGAACCGCTTCCATCCACACTGAAGTAAATATTCCCCCTTTTCTACCCAACCATGAGAACGGCTCAGGAAATAAACCGTTGGGCTCTAGGCCCAACATTTAACTTCCCAAACCAGGGTGGGGATCAGCCACTTTGCGATGAGCTGCTCTTGAAGGCAGTTTCTGAAGAGACTCTCCCATCACACGGCTCAATCCCAGCCCCCAAGCTGATGCTGGAGCTCTGCAGCACCTCTTTATACACCCCAAAACAGTCCTCAGCTCCCTGCGTCTCTGTCCGCTCACGTACCTGAAGGTTACAAACACACCCATCAAAAGACATTTTCCCACAAAGCCAAGGACTATCCTGAAAAGTCCAAGTCAAATATCAGTGGCAAATGCCATGGTGCTTTCAAGCTATTTCCAACTTCTTTCTGATAGGGCTATCAAAGTCTTCCTAGAAAGAGAAATAAAGGCTTCATTGTGCTCTCCTGGGATGGAAAAAATACCACGGGTTTATCACCGGTTGTGAAAGCTCCTCTGTTTCCTTTCCAGTTCTTAGCTCCAGCATTTTAGAAAGTCATGGAACGACCTTGAAGGAGAGAAACACATGGGTTTGGGTAGGAAGGGCACCACACATGGAGGCACAAAAGGCCCTATGAGCTGTTCCTGCTGGCGAAGAGGTTTCAGGGGAAAATTTAGTAGCTCTCATTTGTTGTGGAGTTCAGAAAAACAAACAAATCAACTCTGCAGAGGACCCACGGAAAGGTGGGTCTGTGCCTGGAGCAGGTCAGCAAGGCAGGAAGAGTGAAGCCACATCTTGTTCAACACTGGCAAAACCACCTCATTCCTACCAGCCCCCAGATTCCAGCACTCCAAACTACTAGTTTAAATTACCCATGGTGGAAACAGCACGCCTTAAAGGGCAGGTACTCCAGAGACCGAGAATATTCTTGCTGTGTTCAACCAACCTTCACAGCACATTCATTTCCAAGGCAACTTCATGATTTCCTCTTGACGGTCAGCTCAGTGGAAATCCCATCTACACCCCCATGACCAACTGCCAGCGATGGCTCTGCCCCAAAGAGAGACCCCAGGGAAGAGTCAGTGGCTTCAGAGCTGCAGCTCCTGTATCACGTGGGACAAGAGAACCTCACCCAAACACTTCTGGTGTCCAGCTTCCAGCTCAAACAAGCGGCACGTGGAATCGTCCTGCAAAGGTGTCACCAGCCAACAGAAAGGTAAAGGTGTCTGTCTCCTC